CATTCAGTGTTTATCCAAGAATGAGTGAATTACGAAAAAAAAGAACAAATTCGTCTTGAACTCCATTTCATCCCTGCCCTGCGTAGCTCTCCAACATTCGGCAACGTTCATTCTTCTCCTTCTTGTATTACGGCCACCTGATCAATTGTGATCACTGTATGCGAAATCAACATTGCACAATACGGTGGTATGACTTGAGGCCATGCTTTGGGAAGTGAGGTGTGAACGCAGGTCAAGGTATTCTAAGTCGACTGTACATCATGCACTATGATTGTATTACAACAAGGAAATATAGTTAAATTTTCCCACAGTCCGATGAATAGGCTGTAGGATGGGATTAAATTGCACTTGGTAATCTCATCCATTCTGAAGTGAATTGCAAGTTCGGCCTCGCACGAGTTTCCTCAGCACTCCAAGAGGGACTCGAACCCGGGCAGGGCAGTCTAGAATCCTTCTACAGGAATTTGAAGGCAAGCTAGGCCTTGCTCATATCACATTTTTAATAGTTACGCTGGCAGCTTCGAAAACTACTCACTTCAAATATCAGTAATGTGGTCAGTTTTAATAGAAAATGCAAGTTTATGTCATTTACACTACCCTCACCAAAATGTGATTTAGAAGACGCCTGGCAACATGACAAAATTACGCATTGCCCTACTCGGGTTCGATTCCCGTTGGGCTGTTTATGAGACACTCCCACGAAATCAGGACTGCAGTCTGATGGGTAAGAATACCTTTTTGGAGCCTTTATCCACTTCACATAATTGAGTATGAATACGGCTTTTATGAAAGGAGAGGATGGAGTATTTTTACTGGATTTCGGTTGTCACGCCTGTCTCTACAGCCAGACAAACAGACACTACTCACCTGCTTTGTGGCCGACCTTGTTGCACCGACGTGGCTGGGGTCTCGCTTCCACGAGGCGACAGCGCCGTTCAGAAGTGGGAATTCGGTCCGAGCCGACAGTCTGCCGAGAAGTGAGCACGCAACGCCAGGCTTCTGTTGCTCTGTGACTGGGCCCAGCGACGAGTGGACGAGCCGGCAGATGAGTAGATTGGACTGGACGCAACGAGAGGCGAGTAAAAATTGGCCGTTTGACTTATCCAACTCGTGTCTATCACAAAATCGCCTCTGGCCTTGGCCCTCTTCTCCGGTCTCAGCTGACCGAGACACTTGCACATGACGCCCGCTCTCGTCCACATCACTCGACCAATTATCCATCCCCTCCTCCATCCACACATCCATCTATCCACCAAACAGCTACACGTCTGTCTGTCTGTCTGTCTGTCTGTCTGTCCGTCCAAGTCTGGCCGACTGTTGGCACTTGAGTTCTAGCCTCGTCTCGCCGCCCCGGCAACAACTCCTCACTCTTCACAGTCCCGGTATCCCCGTTTCTCTGGCACTCTCTCACTCTCTCACTCTCTCACTCTCTCGCTCTCTCGCTCGTCTGCTCAACAGACCAGTTAACGCGGCCCAGTTCGTCCTCTCGTAGACGTCTCTCAGCGTCGCCTCGTGGCCGCACCAAGACCCAATGCGAACGGCCGCGAGGGTGAGAGCGAGGTCGGCGCCAGGGCGAACGGGTTGGCAGGCCAGAAAGGTGTACATTATAGAAAATTAGGCTGTTATTCGTGAAGTACATGTGGCGATCAAGTGACGAGGCCAGAGCGCCAGCTCGAGATCAGTCATCGAATGCGGGACTTTTATCGCCAGTTCCTGTCCCTCAGTCGGACTGACTGGCCTGGCCTATGTCCGTGATTGTTTATTCTTGTACTCATAGCGCCTATTTTAGGGCATGAGTAGTCGCGTTCGGGTGTCAGGGTAACAGAAACGAAACATTTGCATACATCTACGTACACACCTTTCTGGCTGTGCATGTGTTTGTGCTTGTATGTGTGCTTGGAGCGGCGCGCCTGCATGTCATAACTGTAGAATTGTGGCTTCAGCAATCGCTACGAGACAGGCACTAAGTGATGCTGGACACTGGTTGTAGGTACACATTTGTGCCCGTCTGGCCGGTTGCCTCACAACCTATCCACCGAATCACACTGCGAGCTGCTGTCAGAGATGGGGGTCGGAGCAAGCGCCATCGCTGCTGATAGCCAAGTGATGCTGAGTCTGGCTGGGTGGGTAGGTAGGTGAGCCGCCGGCCAATCGGATATCGCTAAACGCGACTTGGTCCCGGGGCCCAGGGTCGTCTTAAAGAGGACGCAAATAAATGGTTCGAGTGGGTATGTACGCAAGCGTACACTCGGTTGTGCATTGACACATCAGCATAGGCCTATTGGACTGGCGTTTGGCACTCTTTACGGATTTTCATTTCACTGGTTATTGGTACCTTGCTCTCGCAGACATGCGAAAGGATGGCTTCCCTCTCCAAACTTCACTCGCTCACTTACCCTCCTCTAAGCTGAGGTGGACAAAAATTGGACATTGATTTCTCTTTAGCCACTGGCCCTGAAAAAGCGGTGTGCTATTCTGCAGCCACGGCGACAATGAGTAGTTATGTTGAAATGAGATGTATTCACCCTATCTCGTCCAAGGTGATGAAGGACTGGTAGTAGAATTTTCCCACAATCATATGAGTTGAGCTGACGTTTTCCATTGAATTTCACATAGCCTTGAATATATGAAGACCAAGATGTTGTGGCCTCTGGTGTGGTCGCAGTCTCCTTTCGATTGATAGA